CCTAGTCTTCTATTTCTTTTCCTCCTCCTGTTTCTTTCTTTCTTTCTTTTTGCAATGCTAGTGATTGAACCCAGGCTTTGTTCGTACTGGACAAGTACTGTATCTGTACCTCAGCCTGGATTTTTCAAATAATTGTTGAAAATGATCTGTGTATGTGTGTGTGTGTGTGGTGTGTCTGTGTGTCTGTGTCTGTGTGTGTGTTTTAAATAATAAAAATGCTTAGCAGAATGCCAGCTACTTGGGAGACTGAGACTGAGTGATCAACTGCAAGCTCAAGGCCAACCTAAGCAAGTTAGCGAGTACTTATTTTAAAATAAAAGGAGGAGGGTGTTACTTAATGGTAGTGTTTGTCTAGAGTGGATGATGCCCTGGTTTCAGACACCAATACCAGAAATTAAAAACTGTATTATAATTATTTATACTATTTATTAAAATATTTATTAAAATGGGCTGTTTGCAGTGGCACATGCATATAATGCCAGTACCCTGGGAGGCAGGCGGATTGCAAGTTTGAGCCTAGCCTAGGAGATTTAGTGACTTAGTACCACAAACAGAGACACACATACCACACATACACACAAAAATAAAAATGTTGTAGATGATGAAGCATTGTACAGTTTGTTTATGGGGCGGGTTGAATTCAGGGCCTTCACACTTAGCTATGTCCTCAGCCCTTTTTTATTCTTATTTTTAGATAAGGTCTCACTGAATAGCCCAGGCTGGGCTTGAACTTGCTATCCACCACTAGAATGCTTTGATTCTGTCAGCAATGCTGGAATGTAGTAAGAATAGGTATTAAATTTTTTTTTTTTTTGTCTTTTTCATTTTTATCAGTACCGGGGATCGAACTCACAACTGCCTGCTTGCAAGGCAGGTGCTTATGCCGCTGAGCTAAATCCCCAGCCCTGGTATTAAATATTTTTTAAATAAAGGATTGACTTGCCAGTTGTCTCAAAAGCTGGGACCAATCCATCTTGCAGGGATTCCCATTCTCTCGCACCTGTCTCCCTGGGCTCTGTGTGATGCCTCCTTGTCCTCTCCCAAATCAGAGGTGGCATTTCAAAGTCCAGAACACTTGAGATTTATAATACTTTCAGTTTTGGAATATCTATCCAGTGGTTTCCTCTATCAAAGATTGATACATTCGGATTTATATCAAGAGTATTTAACAGTATGTTTTTCTGTAAGTAGATCAACTGGCTACTTCACAGTTAGTTATTTTTATTTTATAAGATTGCCCTAAATAATTGCCATAAGAGAAATGGCAGTAATGTAGAAGTTACAATTTATTGAGCATCTACTGTGTGCCAGCCTTAGCAACCCTGCAGTTAGGAATGATAATCCCAATTCTGTAGATGAGGAGACTGGGGCTCAAAGAGGTTAAGCACCTACCCAAAGTGACATAGTTAAGATACAAAGTGACAGTATCAAGATTTGAATCAGAGTCTTTCTGGCTATAAAGAATATGTCCTTGCCAGAAGGAAAGACAGTGTCTACTTTGTTCTGTTCCCAAGTGGAAGCACTGGTTCCTTATGGTCTTAGTGGGGAACCGAGCGTGCCTATGGGAAATGGTTTCACTACAAATCAGCTCTTTATGTAGCTTAATAATATGCTGATCTCATACCTACTGGATTTTTGTTTTGTTTTGCTTATTTGGCAATGTGTAGAGTATAAATTTTTAAGCAATCTCTGTGTGTATCTTTGAAACTCATCTTCCTGCTTCACACGGCCTGCCCTTTCTTCGTGCTGATGACATTGTGTTTCAGCACTGAAGGTATCAGCATTGTTTTAGGAAGATCTGGAAAGGCTTCTGTAGTCAATTCTTGCATTATACAGTTTACTGAATATGTTAGTCTGTTTTATGCTGCTATATCAGAATAGCTGAGCCTAGGAAATTTATAAAAGAGAAAGATTTCTTTCTCTTACAGTTCTGGAGGCTGAAAAGTTCAAAGCTGAGGGCCCCATATCCGACCAAAGCCTTCTTGCTGCATCATGCCAAGGCAGAAGGTGGGACAAAAAGGGAAGGGTAGGGAGAGAGACAGAGACACAGAGAGTGGGGAGAGGGGCGCTGAGCACACCCTTTTTAGGAAACCACCCCCCACTCCCATGATAATGGCATTAATCCATTTGTAAGGGCAGAATCCCCATGATCAAATCACCTCTTAATAATTCCACCTCTCAACAAAGTTTCACTGATGATTAAGTTTCTTTTTTTTTTTTTTGGTCTTTTTCATTTTTATCGGTACCAGGGATCGAACTCACGACCACCTGCTTGCCAGGCAGGTGCTTATGCCGCTGAGCTAAATCCCCAGCCCGATGATTAAGTTTCTAACCTTAGGAAACATACTCAAACTGTGGTGCTGAGATTGTGGGTTAGAGAAACATGTAACTTTCTATATAAAACTTTTTGAGATTTGTTGTAATTCTAGTACCAATAAATGCTATTTTAAAAATTTATTTTAAAATAATACAAATTATAAGGCTGTGAAAAAAATCAGACTCTTCATACATTCTTGGTATAAATGTAAAATTGGAGCTGGATGTGGTAGCACAAACCTGTAAGCTCAGCATCTAGGAGACTCGGACAGGAGGATTACCATGAGTTCAAGGCCAGCCTGGGCTACATTGTGAGTTCATGGCAACATCTTGTCTCAAAAAAAAAAAAAAAAAGAAAGAAATATAAAATTGTGCATTTGCTTTGGAAAATAGACTGGCAGTTACCAGAAGGGTAAACATAATTATCATATGACCAATTCCATTCATATTCCACTTCAGGAGAAATGAGAACATATGTCCACACAAAAGATTATATATCAGTGTTTTTCATAATAGCTCAAAAGCAGGAAGAACCAAAAATTGTCTAAATGAATGGGTAAGTCAAATCCAGCACATTTGTGTAATGGAATATTATTTGGCAATGAAACGAGTGGTACTGCTGATTCATATTACAATGTGGATGAACCTTGAAAATGTCATAAGTGAAAGAAGCCAGGCATAAAAGACCATATATTGTATGCTTTCTAGTTACATGAAATGTCCAGAATAGGCAAATATAGATATCAAAAGTAGAGCTGGATATGATGGTGCATACCTGTAATTCCAGCACTCAGGAGGTTGAGGCAGGAGAATGAAGAGCTCAAGGTCAGTCTCGGCTATGTAGAGAGACTGTGAGTCAGGAAAAAGAGTAGTGGTAGAGGATGAGGGTGCATGACAATGAAAATGAGTTTGTTTTTCAGAAGATGAACATTTTGTGATTAGACCATAGTGGTCATTATATAACCTTGTAAATATACTCACAGTAGCTGAATTATCTAACTATAAAAATAAACTTTCAAAATTCAAAACCATCGTTTTCATGGAATTCTTGTGAGTAGGAAGAGCGGACAGGCAGGATTTGGACATGTGGAGATGCAGTGAGAGGCTGAGGGTGAAGCAAAAATGAGACACAGCAGTGTCCAAGGCTGGGTCGGGTGGGCTTAGGGGGAAGGCCAGCAGTTCAAGCTGTCTGCGGAGCAAAGAGCCGGAAGCTGTCAGGATGCCGCCGTGCAACAGCTGGGCTTTCTGTGTGAGTCTCCGGAACCTGAGCGTTGCCAGCTCCCAGCTCCCTTGGCGACAGCTTCCTTGGATTTAAAAAGTATCATGCTTTTTGATGGTTATTATTTACTTTTTTTTATTTCACTTGTGATTGATTAAGTTGTTACTTAGCCAACCAATAAGCAATAGTCTAGATTCAAGTTCAAAACCAAAACCCTTAAACAGCTCTTGCACTTTGCTCTCTGTTCCATTTTCGCCTTTCTCAAATCCCTGTGGCCTCTGCTCTTGTGAATAGGAAAATGAAGCCGTGGAACTAATAGATCTTGACTTTTTTGGCTAAGCAATTAGATACTTCTTAATTTTGTGGTTTCTGGGGCTTATTTCAAACCCTTCACCTCCTATTCTGTAGACTACCTGTCACGAAGGCAGAATTCTCTTACCAAGAAGGCAATTTTGCGATACCTTGGGGTAAAGAGTCAGTTGCTTAAGTGTCTACTTGATAAGCTATTAAGGAGTCCGTGAATACCTTCCCTGCAGAACAGCTATTTGAATTTTGCCCTACAGCCACCTTTCTTGGTAAAGTTAGAGTTTAGAGGAAGTGAAGGAGGACAGAATAGCAAGAGAGTACCTAAGTAAAACTGACCTCTTGAAGGAGAGCACCCTGTTCTCTCCCATTCTCGGGGACCCGTCCAGTTTACTGGAGCTACATTGAGGTAACAGCTGGAGGGGTTCTTTGTCTTCCTTTGATTTCCCATGCTTAGAAGCAAGTATACTGCATTACTCTTCATTTCAAATACAAATTAAAATTCCTAATCTCTTCAGGAGTGATTAAGATGAGCCACTGAAGTTGCTCACATACTTAATAAGCCCAATTATATTTTTTATTAACCCTGACATAGTTCCTTTTGTTGCTGAATCATAAGTGTAACATTTTTAACTTAATGAAGCAACAATTTCCTCCTCTTGACTCATGCCAGATCTTGGGCAGTGGTGGGAAAGTACACTTATGTGGTATCTGTTCAATTTGGCAACTCGTTTTTGGATTTTTGCATTAGACTTTGACATTTCCTTTTGCCTCCTGACCTTGCCGTATGGCTGCAGTCCCTGAGGAAGTAGGTAGGTTGGGAACGAATCGAGCCTCAGGGAAAGGATGGCAGACATCAAGCTACCAAAGACCGAATTATGTCATCTCTCCTTCCAGCAGCCAGGTTCGCTTTCTTCTTTTCTTCCTTCCCTTCCACCCTCTCTCCCTCCCCCTTTTTTCTCTTTTCCCCTCCCCTCCCCTTTTCTCTTGTCTTTTTTCTTTTCTAATTCATCGCCAGTGCATGCTAAATAAGCTCTCTGTCATTGAGCCACCCACTTCTGTACCAGTACCTACCATGAGAAGGGTTTTTTTGCCCAACTTTTGTTTTTCCGTATTAACAATCTGACTTTAGACAGGGACAGAAAGTGTATCATATTTGCCTGTGTCTTTTTTTAAGGCTGATGCAGTGCTCTCAGAAGTTAACATGGAAGGGTAAAATAAGTATCTCTAACACACAGAGAAGAGATTGTCAGATTCTTCTGTGGATCTTGTTTAGATACATAGCTGAGGCAGGGGAAGAATGTACATTATCATCATCCTTATTACTAGTTTTTCAAGACAGGGTGTCCTTGAACTCACAGTGATCCTCTTAGCCTCCCCAGTGCTGAGGTTAAAAGGATGCACCACCATAGGTGGCTAAAATATGTTTTGACCATTTTTTTTGCTTAAATAGTTTTAAAATGTGTAGGTATTCATTTAGCAAATATTTATTGAGCAGTATTATGTTTGAGGTCAGTGCACTGCTGAGAAAGATTGGCCTGTCCTGCCTTCGTGGAGTTTGCAGTTGGAAGAAGCAAATACTAATCAAATAATCACACAAACGTATAAAATGTGGCCTTGCCAGGGCCCCTGTAGAGAGGCACACAGTGCCACAGGCTTATTTCAGGGAGATTTCACCTGACAAGAAAAGGAAGAAGCGACCCGAAGTGACCCCATCAGCCAGAAGCTGGATCATGATTAGAAGTTTATACAGTAAAGGGGGAGAGAAAAGCATATCATACCATAGGAAGAGCAGCACAGCAGGTCTGCAGTGGACAGCAAGGGCTGCATGAATGCCCATGCTCTCCAGAACCCTCAGGGTCAGCAAAGAAGGGGTGAGCTGAGCAGCCTGAGTACCATGCAGCCCCTCTCTAACCAGATGGCTCTGCTTTTCTTTCACTAAGCCCTCTCTCAAGATTTCATGCAAAAACAATGTTTTGCTGTTTAAAAAAAAAAAAAGAAAGAAAAGAAAAAATTTGAAAAAAATCACTCCTTTAGGTCATCTCTCTGCCTTAGGGAGGACATTTTCTACCACATGTCATGTGTCATGTCACACCCAAACACCCTCCTCATTACTGACAGAAAACTACGGTCTTTGTTTGAGCCTATATCTATGAAATGCAATGAGAATGTTTGGATATCTATACAGATCTTTGAACTCAATTGTCCAATATGCAGTCTGGAACCAGTATGAGAAACGTTCTAATTATAGACGAAAAAGAGAGTAATTTTAGGCCAATAGTTTTCAAGTAATTTTTTTTAAACAGCAGAATCCATTGTCAAATGAATAATGATACTGAAAGTATCAAAAACTCAGGTGATTCCTTTTTCTTCTTTGTGCCTTTTTACTTAAGATTTTTCACATTTTCTAGTTAGGAATGTGCATTGCTTTTATGATCAGGAGAAAATGTTTTTTAAATTATATGGCTGTTTAGGGAAACTGAATCGTTTCATGATAACAAGGTTCAGGGACTAGTACAGATTGAAACAGATGGTTCCCTCTATTGTAGTTCCCCCTGGTAACCTTTTCACAACTAGGGATTACTAAAACACAGAGTGACCATGGCCTTTTCACCATGAAATTATGTGATGACAGGAGAAACCTTACTAACAAACAGATGTTTTTCCCAAGTGGCGCTTTTCTTAATGAAATGGTTGCCTAGAAACCAGACCATAATAATAACTTTTCTATATTTAGTCTGTAAAGTGATTCAGTTTGCAAAGTTATTAAGTCAGAGCATACTAATTAGATAGAACTGAACATGCCATTATTTCCTGCCTTGCCTGTAGTTCAGCAACCAAATGGTTAAATCAGCAGCCACGTTTCATGCAGCATGTGTCTGTCCAGATGCTGCTCCTGTCAGGGGACCAGTGAGGAAAATGACAGCTCCTAGAGCAAGCCTGTTCCACTATTAACTGGCTCGGAGCCGCACAGCAGGCCTGCTCTCTCACCAGTAAGTGAGAGGCTGCTACATGTAACACTTATTAGGTTGCTGGGAGGATCAGTTAGGTCAGTGGGTCAGGTGTTGTATGTAAAAAAAGTGAAAAGAAATTTAATTCGAATGAAGCTAAGTGAGAACAGGCAGACACAGGAGTGATGATACTTGTTTAGAATGACAGAATTGATATATGGAAAATCTGATATGCTGTTAACTTTACAACAAATGAGCCTTAGTGTGCGCCATATGTGTTAGAGAACTAAAACCTTTAATCTTCAACTCAGACTATGCAAAACCTAGAAGAAAATAGAAAACAGTAAAGATGAGACAGCTCAACTGAAAACAAGTATCACACACGGTAATGTATTTAAAATAGTGGAAGAGCAATAAAAAACAAATGAGAAAGCAGGGAATTACTAAGCTGACATCATAAAGAAAAACCAGAACTCTAAGAAATAATTTGGTGTAAGAACCTACATTTACCCTGAGGAGTTTGCTTGACTTCATGTTGTAGGTTCAAGGCCTTGAAGGGCAAATTGCAGAAATGAAAACCTACATCCAACTGGAAAACCTTCCAACACAAAGATATTACCACTGTTCTTTAGAGTTTTTCATCATTGTAAACCGAAACTATCACTAGAAAGCAATAACTTCCCATTTCCCTCCCTCCTTTGTAATAATTATTTTAACCTAGTAATAAGTATAGTCACATAATAGCCAAACATATGAAAATAAAGTCGTAGTGGACTTCACATATTAGAGTTGTCACACACAAATTATGCTTATTACCATATTTAAAGACATACAAGTTAAGTCTCAAAATATCTTTAGGGAGTAAGAAGCAACCAAAAAATGGCCTGATGAGTTTGGAAAAATCAAATGGGACATAAAAAGTAAAATAACTAAAATTGAAAACTCATTGGGTGAAACAGATGGTTGCGGGGGAGGGAAAGGGAGAGAAAAGGGAAAAATAGAAGAAAAAAATGGAAACAAAGCTTTGGTAAGTGAGGAGGAGAAAAAGAGGTGAAAAGAGGGGAGTGAGGAGAATGGGGAGAAAGAATCAAGGTATGTACAAATTCCTTTGATGAATGTGATCAATATATACGACAAATATGTACTTGTACACAGCCTATGAGTTTTGTAGCTGACAAGGTGGGGGGGGGGTTGAAAAAGAGACACAGAATTAGGTTGTTTTGGTTGATTCACTGTGTCAATTTGAGAAGTTTAGAAGCTTAACTAAGTAACTCAGCCATTCTACATCCTAGGATTTAGAGAACATGCTCTTGGGTGGCTGTTAGGCTCTAAGGATGCCCTAATGGTTGATTCATTGTGTCAATTTGAACAGTTTAAGTGAGCAGTTCAGCAGGTGGCCAGCGACCTCACTTTGCAGACACCCTCATCCTGTGCAAGTGGAGGCCAGGAGATGGTGTGAGTGCTATTCCAGCCCTGGGAGGGGGTAGCCTGCTTACAATATAAGGAAGGAAAAGAGGCTTGCTCTCTGGTTTTTGCTGTCTTCTAAGGCTTTGAACTGTAGTCCCTGTGCCACACCACTCTGCCTTGGAGCCAGCTGATGATGGACTGAACCCTCTACAAACTGTGAGCTACGTAAACCTTTCCTTTCCTAATTTTGGGCATCAGGTATTTGTCTCAGCAACAAGAGAAAAGTAACTAAGACACAGGTTAAAATATTGAGAGCCAGGGACTCTGGCCTCCTTCAACAAGGGAGCCCCAAGAGTCTGGATTACCTTGCCTTTATTCACTCAGACATAGAAACAAGCAATTAGAGTAACACAAGATTCATGTGTCTGCACCACCATAGTACCTGTCCGGCTTTGCCCTAGAACCTGCTTTACGTCAATACACTTGCATGCTGCCTTTCTCTTAGTGCTCACAGAGTAGGCCAGTTAGGCCCCAACTTTTACTATCTAGTCTCCCACATGTACTAATAAAAAGTATAAAGTTAAAAAAAAACAAGACTCAGTGTGTGACTTGTGCCACAGAAACAGCTAAAGAGTGAACCAAAAAGAGAAAAGAGAAATTCAGAGAATACAGCTCAGAGAGACAACATTTAGTCTCTAGATGGAGAAGTCAGAAAGGAAAGATTGTTTGATCTTAAAAATTTTAAGCTCACTTATGTAAAAGACAAACAAATACAACTTGATGGATAAGCATGGTGACCTTTACCTATAATCCCAACCACTCTGGAGGCTGAGGCTGGAGGATCAAAAGTTTTAGGCTAGCGTAGGAAATTTAGCCAGATTCTGTGCAGAAAATAAGAACCAGGTGTGGTGTACACACCTGTAACCCCAGCACTCTTGGAGGCTGGGGTGGGAGGATCACAAGTTCAGTATGGACAATTTAGAAGTTTAGTGTTATTTTAAAAAGCAGTACAGAGGGAGGTGAGGGCACTGTGAAGCTCCTAAATTCAAATCCCAGTGCCAAAATAAATAAAATGAAAACGAATTAAAAATAAGCTGGGATGTAACTCAGTGGCAGAGTGTCCCTGGGTTCAATCCCCAGTACTGTCCTCTCCTCCCAAAAAAGTGTTCATGGGTTCAATCCTCAATACCACACATTCACAAAACAAAACTTTAACTCAATTAAAATGCAAAATATAATTTTAAAGAGATGTATACACAAAGGACAAGCATAATTCTATGGAGACAGAAAATAGATTTGTGGTTGCCTAGGGCTAGGGGCTCTGGTTGAAAAAAAGAAAAGTGATTCATGTCACTCAAAAGAAAATGATTAATGGGAGAGAGTTCCTTTTTGGAGCAATGTAAATGTTCTGGAATTAAATGGTGCTGATGTTTGCACATCTTTGTGAATATCCTAAAAGCCGCTGAACTATGCACATCAAAATGGTAAACTTTATGGTGAGTTGTATCTCATCAGTCCTTTTCTTTCTTTAAAGGACAAGCAAAGGTAATGTCTTTATTAGATAAAGAGCTCCCGAAGACTAAAAGAAAAGTATTCAGTAGATCAATGAGTTAAGAAAACAAATAGGGGACTGGGGATTTAGCTCAGCGGCATAAACGCCTGCCTTGCAAGCGCGTGGTCTGAGTTCGATCCCCAGTACCCATTTAAAAAAAAAAAAATTGGTATTTTAAAATGGGAGTTTTGAGTACTGACTAAATATAGTGAAATAGTCACACTTGCCACTCTTGCTAAGAAAATTAATTGTAACATGTTTGGAAAGCAGCTTTGCAAATGTTGGGGACAGTTATTTCTGGAGAATCTACCTTACTGTGTAAATGACAGGCGGGTACCTCCAGTAGTGCTAACAAAGCCTGTGAAGCCTTTCTGCA